ACCAGCTACAGAAATAAGTCATTACACGCCGGGACCGGACAGTTTTCTGAGGAGCACTGAGGATGTTAGAGACTCGCTGTCATGGGATTGGTTGAAAGAAGGGATCTTGAAGAAAGAGACCGAAGGTCTCCTAACTGCTGCACAAGATCAGGCTCTTCAAACAAATTACATCAAAAATAAGATTGACAGGCACGATGTACTGCAAAAAATAGATGAGCTGAGTATAAGAAACAGCTTGTATAGCGCTATGTGAGAAATAAAATTTTTCACTGGTTAATGCTTTTGAGATGCTCGTTAATTCTGTACTCGGCCTCGCCAACGACTTTGGAACTAAAATGAATCTCGGTATCGCCAAAGCCATATAACTGTAGAATGCAACAAATATAGCTAAAAACTATTATAAGAACTGGAGACACGATAAGGTTGCTCAAGTTTTCCACTGGAATCTTTGCAAAAATTTACCTACAGAGCACCGAAACCTGGTATGACCATTCTCCGGAGGAAGTTATGGAAAATGACCTAGTGAAGTTACTGTTACTGTAGGATTTCAGAATTATGTATGTATATTCCAATAACAATAACAACAACAGCATTATGTACATTCCAATAAGTATTCTAGAAAGTGACAGTGATAATGACGTCATGTCCTTTCCTTCCCTCACCTTCACCACACGCTTTCTCCAGACTTAAAGCAAGCAAGGTACTTGGCTTACTTAAATGCACAGTAGGTAGTAAAAATAAGGAAATTTTTTCAATTTTGTATAAGACCCTGGCTCGACCGATCTTGGAATACACTAGTCCGGTGTGGTCACCACATCTAGCCAAAGACATTCATGAAATAGAGAAGGTACAAAGGAGAGCTTTGTTAATCACTCTAGGCCAAAGACGAGAGGAGATAGCGTATGAGGACAGGGGGAAAATACTTAAATGGAACTCTTTAGAACGAAGGAGGGAATTTCTATCCCTGGTGGAGTGCTATAAGACCGCATTCAATCTGAATGGTCTAAACGTCAGTGATTATTTTGAATTACTGTGCGGGAGCACTAAGACAAGGTCCAACCATCAATATAAGATACAAACCAAACTCGCAAAATTAAACTGGTCCTTTTATGTTTGAGATAATCAAGTTTTTTTTCAACGATCTTCCAAGTAACATAATCAATTGCCATGAGAGTCCAAATATCAACAAGTTTAAACTAAGATTGAAAAATCACATGATTATTTATTGAATGGACATTCTATACTTTTTTTATTGACATTTATGTGATTTTTATATATTTTTGTAAACTTGCTTTATATAAATGTATATTTTTTATTTTTTATTCAGCTATATTTTTTTCGGAGATCTTTATTATAGGGTAACCTCTAGGTTTCCTTTTTGAACTGCCGGTCATTTAGTGTTTTGAAAACCTTGACCAGCAGTCTAGAGACATGGTTTCGTTTTTTGAGCCCAGCGTGAACCAAACGCTATTCCTGAGATGAAGCATTTCAGGATCGCTTGACTTTTCTTAATCGATCGACATATGATAGTTTGGTTTTGCTGGGTTTTTTCGATTTGTGAAATTACTGAAAAGACAGGACTGCCGGTCATTTAGTATTTTGAAAACCTTGACCAGTTACCGGCCATATAGCCACAGTGATTATGGGAAATTTAAAAGGCTGGCAAAAACATTCCCTTTTCAGCGGCTATTCAAGATCACATTTCAATCTCTTTTTAATTTACACAGTTGCGTACAAAGCACGTAAATGCAAACCTTCACAACTGAATATAAAAACACTTCTGATAGTTCAAAAGATAGACGTGATACAAAAATACTAAGCCATGTTAACCTACAACTTTCACAGAAATTTCATTTGCCCGAGCGCACACCTATGATCCTAAACTTAGTTGCCCGGATGAAATTTTTAGTTGCCCCGGGCAAGCAGGCAGCCGTTAATGTCGAGCTCCGTTTTACCTGTACCATGTAAAGAATGAGCAATAACGCACTTAACAGGGAAATAACTTTTTTCACTGCAGACAGAAGTCTAGCCTGCGAGCAAGCTCTCCTCGCTCCCGCGTTCTCGCGAGACTCGCTTCACTCGCCCAAATAGGAGAGCTTGCTCGCAGGCTAACAGAAGTCAGAAACACCGGACGCGAGGTACACAACTTTCTCCCAGAAAATTTAGGATTCAACTCTATCTTGATTGGAAGGGAATTAAACCAGTTACATGGCGTAAAAATAACCTTTAGTTGCCTTTAAATTAGCCAAACGTTTTTCACAGATCTATGCTCTGAAAAGTACTTGGAAATATCAAATGAAAGAACTTACTTGAAATTATAAACTTAAGACTGTTTTAAGTTGCAGTTTCCTTGTTTGTCTCTATCCAGCTGTTGCTAAAATTAAATTCTTGTTAAGCTGGAAGTAATTATGTTTCATGTTCATTGGTGCTATGTATGTAGGCTTTAAAGGGAAAAAAAATCGGCACCTCAGGGCTCGATGTTGCGACCCATGGGGTCGCCAATGCGACCAGCTTTTACTCAGTGGCGACCAAATTTTCACGCCTGCTCGCCACCCTGGCCCCCAAGATAGGTGACTTTCTTCTTTAGGAAAACATACACTAATGATAATCCGTTATTCGTCAGAAAACTAAATCCATTAATTCTTAAATATAATTTTTGGCGACAAGAATACTTGTTCTTGTGACAAAAAATGAAAACTTAGGGGCCAGCTGGCTCCAATATTTTTTTCTGAAAGTCGAGCACTGCACCTGTTAATTACATGTAATGCTTCTCCCCACGAACGTCAAAATGATATTTTTGTTACCTACAAATAAAAAAGATTCCATCTTTCAGTGTTGATAGGATATGCAACAAAATGGCAAAAAAAGGAAGTTCTACACTTTAAGAGACTTTTTTAATGTTGCAAAAACTGGACAATAATACCGAAAAATATGGCCCAGTCGACGACAAAATTAATATTTTAATAGATATCTATCATGGTGGCGTAGACTTGCTTCATCAGGGAGTGGAGAGACGTTTTACGGATTTCTGTTTCGGGCAGTCATGCATACAAAGCAGCAAAAACAAAAGGGCAGAAAAAGGTACATTAAAGTTGGTGAACATTCCTTTAACACAAGCTGATGATTATGTTGTGATTTTTATCACTTGTGTGAATGTATAAAGTTCAACTGACTAATATAGAATTTGAAGAAAACTTTTCTTTTGCATTCCGAATGTCAACAATAATAATTAGTGACAATGAACTTCAGCTATGTTGCGTGCACATCAAAAGCCAAGTATGGGATGATTTTCATGTCAATAAAAAGAGGCATTCTCTCACAGTGTTAAGCTTAACCATGAGCTACCATGTCACGAACTGAAAGCTTTACCGTGTCAAGCCACAGTGTCAAGAACTCAAACTAAAGCTTGTCCACGTCAAGCTAATGTGTCAAGAATACAACCTTTTCCGTGCACGTGTCAGGCAGGTAGGAAAATACAAACCAACAAGGTAACACGGAATCTTTTGTTTTGCTAGAAAAGTATGCGCATATCACGGTTTTTAACACGCTCAGCGTGTCGTGCGAACGTGTCATTTTTGTTCCATCACAAAAGTGGCTAAAATCCTGTTAAGGGTCACATTTGGTTGTTTCAAAATCTTTGGGGGCACACAGGTCAATTTTTCTGATCCCATCTCCATATGCATGCTGTGGGACAACTGTTTTGCTTTTGCAGTTCCCAACCAGCTGTTGCTTAAAGGAGTGCTTTGCACTCGCTTTGGCAGTAAAAGGTCTTTGATATGCAGGTTTTCCCTCCCCGTATTGTCCAGTGGCCTTGCCATGCTGATTAGCCCCAATAAGGGCGAAACAGCTGTCCACGGCTGCCAATGCCGGGGTGATATGGTTGTGCACATGCATAAGGTACTGGCCACGCTGCGGAGTTGGCATGTGTGCTTCAGGGCATAATTTGGTTGTTTCATGAAGAGGATAGACTCTTTTTTCAAGAAATGAAATACTCCTAAGAAGAAACTAAAACCAAATCCTTCAAAACCAAATCCTTCCAATCCTTTGAGTGCTGAATGGACAAGCGACTCAAGCTCATACCTTGCTACAGTAGCCCGACACTTTCATCCTGATTGGAAAGCTGAATGTTCCCCTGGGTCTCTTACGCGCATAGAAAAATGGTCTGTCACACTTGCCAGGAATGTCCACAAAAGTCAAAATCATTCAATGATTCGTCTAGTTTCGTCAGTGGATGCTCCAATTTTATAATCGAGTCCTTGGCTACGAGGTGATGACTGCTGGCTAGTAAATTTCAAACCTCACTAGCCTAAGGACTAGTAAGTTATCAAGTTAATGTCGAGCAATGCTGGAAGACCATGTGATTTCACGTTTAAGCCACACCCGACATACAAGGAACCCAAATTATCATAAATTACTGCCTGTCCAAGCCTTTTATCTTTCTACATGGGACAGCACTTAACTTCCAACATGGAAACCCTACGTTTTATTACTATTCATATCCCGAACTTGGGTTGCCTGTGGTATACTTTCACCAGAAAACTTGAAAGTTAAGTCAAAGGACTTGGTACATATATATTAGGCTTGAGTAGAAATAATAGATAAAAACCAGAAAGCAAGCCCATTTAAGCTTACAGTTATGGTACAACAAAATACAGTTGAGGGCAGCATGTCTATTAAAACTTGCATCGTGTTATCACCCCAGAACCTCTTCTTCACGTGCATCGCTTTTCTTAATTGCCTGTTCTTCGAAAACTCTGGCTTTTTTAACTTTTAAATGCTTTTCTCTACGGAAAGATGGGAAAGATGTGTTTTCCTTTCGAATAAACGAATGAATCCGGAGTGAATCTCCCTTTCTTGCACACTCGAAAGAGGTAAACTGGCTTCCATTCGCTGATTGGAGAATCTTGATCACATGGCCTTAGCGCGCGGAAAATGAAAACGAAAAATGAAGCCGCGGTGAAGTCTGGGTAAATGGTAGACGCAGAAAAAAACTGGTTCCGAATGAAACTCATCAAAGATGGCCGAAATAGAAGAAGATGCAATCGAGGTGAAATCTTTTTTCTTTTCTTTTTGGTGTCAGTCTTTTTTGAATAAAAAATATCTTATCAGTTAATCAGAAGTTTATAGCAAGTGAGAGGTTTTTTTTCGCAACTTTATGTTTTGGTGTTGTAATCAGATTTGAAGATAGCAGTCCATCGCACACATGTAGGTGAATTTTGCTCCATCTAGCGCTTTGTATTTTAGCTTAGTGAAGGTTTACATATTTTTTTCAGGATGATTCGGAGACATCTCAGTCGGAAACGGCAGGAAAACGAAAGAGACTTTTCCACAAGGAACGTAAGTCTCAATTTACCTAGAGTTCAAAGCACAAATATATATACTCTATCTGTCTATCTATCTATCAAAGATCCATGCTGGACCAATGTTCTTATTTTGTTTTCCAGTGCGATGTATGATGTACGGATTTGGTGATGAGCAGGTTCCATTTACAGAGTCTGTAGATTTACTGGAAGATCTTGTAGTGGAATATATCACAGAAATGGTAAGAAGCTTGTACTTGCCCAGGGCATCCCATTATTATGTTATGTATCAAAGGACGAGCCAAGTGAGGCTGTGGGTAATCGGCACCTTCACATGAGACTATCAGTTGTTTGTGAAGGCCAAACATCCAGTCAATGTCCAGTGACTTCTGGCGTACCCCAGGGTACAGTCCTTCGCCCACTGCTCCTCTTATTATATACGACCGACTTTCCAGACAACTTGCAATCATCAGTTAGGCTTTTTGCAGTTGATGCCCTACTTTGCAGCATTGTTGCAGGCGATGCAGACTGTGACCTTCTTCAATCTGACCTACATGTATGTAGGCTTGAATCCTGGCAGTATTATGGGCAAATGGAGTTTAATCCTTCCAAATGCAAAATTGTTACCATCTCACATAAGAAAAATCCACCCCAGAGAATTATGTTTTCTGTGGTGTAGAGTTGGAACAGGTTGGTAGTTTCCCATACCGTGGGGTTACCTTCAGTATTGTGCATGCTTGTTAACTTAAGTTCCTGTTTTTCTTGTGACTAGACTCTTAAGGCCATGGAAGTTGGTAAAAAAGGAAAAGTGCATGTTGAAGATATAGTTTTCTTGATAAGGAAAGATCCAAAGAAATATGCCAGGGTAAAGGTGAGAAAGTAAATTTGTTCAGAAAACTTTTATAATCAAACATTGTAAATAATCAACATTATTATTCATTCAAAATACTTCTCTGTTTCTGATTGACTTAAGTCTCCTGGTTAATTCTTCATAACCAGGTAGTCCTTACCAAAATTTGGTTGAAATGGGCAAAATACATGTACACTGTACTAAAAATGAAAGAACAAATGCAAGAATATGCAAAAAAATTATTGCTAGCTGAATGTTATCTGGTTTTGAGGAGTATCTGCAAGGAAAAACAATCCAACAGACCATTATTTTAAAAAAAAACTGTGCCAAGAAGCTTTGAAGAACGTATTATGAGGAGGTAAGGATGTTACTTAGAAATAGTTTGAGTGAATAATAAAGCCATTATTAAAATAATTTGGCTTTCATATGACGTGAAGGATCATACACATCTCAGAGGACACCTTCTTTGCTCTATGTTATTCTTAATATACGTGGCCTCATTCAGGAATAATATTAGTATCAGTAATAACTTTGATCACCGTAAATCAACACTCATTCTAGGGACAGATTTCTCTCTCAAAATTATTGTTTACTGGAGGCTGTGCACCTACTGAGAAAAACAATCAGTCAGTCAAAAATCAGCCCAGGGTCCTTTATTGGATTTTACACCAATTTTCTTTTGCCCCAAATTTTACATGGGCCTGTCATCATAAAAAGTACATTGTCCAGCTCATGTGAAGCCAAAACTCAAGTGATCATTTTGAAGAAAGCCTTCAGTGTTTGTCCGATAGGCTGATGCTAGTGGATTTTGCCATCAGGCTGGTGAATTCTGTTTCTTAATTGTTTTGGGAAATTCAAATTACAGAAGAACTGTAATCAATCCTGCTCATCAAGAAATTTTTTTGAGGATAGTTGAAATGACTTTAAGGCTAGTACATGCTAGGTACAGCTTGCCCGAATGGCAAGCTGTAAACCTGACTTTCTTTGCACCCTGTTGAAAGAAACAAACATTTTATGTCGCTTGCTTTGTCTTGTTGTTAGTTTTATGAGACTTAATTTTTGTGCCTTGTTTTTGTCAGAACAAAAACCTGGACAATATTATTTTTTGAA